GGGGGTGAAAATGCTGGTACTTCTGACCTTACTTTATCAGTTTATATTAGTAGTTGATAATTTTTATTGGGAGTGAGGCTCTTATAAACGAACATAAGGACTGCTTCTTGTCTTAATAAGGTAAATCAATTATACATCAGAAAGCAGAAATACCACACATATATAGCTGAGAATATCAGGGGACAAGTGGAGAAAATTGGATACCCCTGTTTAGTTTCTACCTTCACCCTTATTTTGCTTCATTAACATTTGTATTGACACTTCTCATTGATAATCATGTTATACATGTATGCACGACATTTCCACATGGAATGGTGTTTCATCCATGCACAGCTGTGCATGTATACTGTTTTATTTGTAGATGTTTTCTTTTTGGTATTACTGTTGTAGCTCATTATATGTTTTTGGCATGTTTGACACAATTTGTGAGTGTGTTTGTTCTTGTGTTCCATCTTCTGTTAGGATTACCGAGCTGCCTCTGACGTTTGTGTCGATATAGCTGCTTGTGCTAGGTGGAAGTGGTTTCGTTGGTTCACATGTTTGCAAGGAGGCTTTGGAGAGAGGATTTGTTGTCTCTAGTCTAAATAGGTAATTCCATAAGCTATTTTTGTGAACTGATATTTTTTTCTTTACTTCTTCTTTAGCCTTTGCATGCACGTGGGTTGCACTTTTTTATTTGTCCGTAAGCTGTTGAAAACTATTGTAAAGAATAAATAAGAAATTGATATCTATCCTGGTCTCCTGGATGTTAACTGAAAATTAAACATATAGTTATGGACAAATATAACCCTTTATTCTACCTGTAGATAAGATGACAAAGTCCTCCAATTTTCTGTTGATGCTCTTGGCTTCAGCACTACATGAAAGCTTCCCATTCCCCCATTTCATATTTCTCCATTGTGTCATCATAGTTGTTCTGATGATGGCTTGTTTGCTGTATGTACTTCTGTAGTAGCTCTCAGTTTGTTGGACATATGTTGAAAAAACTCTCATAAAGCTGTTTGTGAAAATTCCACTTGCCTCATGAATTCACGATATCAAGTTTTCAACCATGGTTCGTCTATACATCTTAGGAACCATAAGATACACTTGGAATTCTGCTTTGAAGATGAAATCGTTGGTTTTGTTCACTTAAGCTACACAAATCATCCTATTTAGCTTTAGCTTACTCATGCTTGATAGGAAGCTGACAGTTGAGTCGAGGCCAAACAGATCCGCGTGAGTGGGCAAGTGATCTGGAACAAGCATGTCAATTTACTAGGAGAACCTATCCGGACTCTTCACTTTCCAAACTAGACACAAAAACATCTTCCTAATAGATGGCCTTCACTTCTTTAGAATCGTGGGAATATTTATCTCTCTCACAAGTTTTTCATCTCAGTCTTTTGTCTATGCCTCCCCCAAGAGACTCTAACACCGTTCAAGCCATGCCTTCTAGCAGCTCTTTCAATGATGGTCACCGAGCTGTTTGGATATTATAATTGTTCTTTAATGTCACAACATAAGCATCTGGTATATGTTTCCTATAGTAGAATGGACTCACAGAAATCTTCGTAGAAAAAAATTGAGTGAATTCTGCTTGTTAAAATTTGCATTAGGTTTTCCATGCTATAGTTTCTCCGAGCAAAGATTTCTACTATCAAACAGCCCTAGTTAACACTTCATGACAATTTGCAAACAATCCTTTACCCCAGCGCGATCCTTTCTTCTTTGCAATATGCACATTTTGGGATTTCCTTCAAATAGCTGACTGAACTGGACATAATTCCGCAACTGGTTTTGAAAATACAATTGTATTTTCTGTAGAACTCTAGTGCCTACGATTGAAAATGTAATTGCGTTATGTACAGCTAGAATAGCTGTATATCTTAGCCCAACCAAAATGTTGCCCTGTTCTCACCAAGTGTGTTTTGACCTTCTATGAACAGATCTGGAAAGCCATCGATAAGTGAATCTTGGGCTGACAAAGTTATATGGAATCAAGGTTGCTCATTATGAAGTTAATTTTGCTTGCTTAATTATAAATGGTCATATTGTTCACTATCTATTTTATTCTCTCGAACAGGCAATCTCCTTGAACCTGCTTCACTGGAGGATAGTATGGATGGTGTCTCTGCTGTTGTATGCTTAACTTCTATTCTCCCTTCTAACATGTTAATTTCATTATTGAACATTTCATATTGTGCATATTTTTGGGACCTGGTCAGTTGATATTGTATAGTTAAGTGCACTTTATATGTTTGGTATGTTTATGTTTTAGTTTTCTAGTTTCTTAATTTCACGTATTATGGTTTTGATAATGTGTACAGTTATTATTGCATAATTATCAGTTTGTTATTGAATGCCATAGTTATCCAAAAGAATGCAACATCGGTGTGCAGGGATACTCTGTTGACGCTAGTTCTCAAAGCAAGCGAGATGCCAATATTTTTCCATGCTTAAAGCAGTGCGAGCTTAAATGTGCACTCGAACCATGTACAGTTGAACGCATAGTTCCATCCTTCAAATTTGCAATATTATAGGGTGTTTGGTTTTCAATAACAGCTGCTACTTCATCATTTTTGTGATACATATAGCAGCTGATCCAGTTTTTATTGGTGAATGGTTGAAACCGAGCCACAAAAGACGTGATAAGAACTACACCAATGTGGCAATGAGAAGCCAATCATAGGAATTTAGGATATTATACAAATATGAACCATGCTTAAGTTTGGTTTGTGTACCTTATGCACTGTTTGTAACTGTTAAGTACAACAATTGTTGGGTTTAATGCAACTCCAAAACTCAATGTAACAAACTTTATTTGATGAGCTAGAAATCCTAAACCGAAACCACTTTTTGTTGACACGAGCTGCTTTCAGCAACCCATTTGTAGTTAAATTAATGTCTACTTGTTGCATGGCTTCATATCTGAGATAAGCGCAGATACCATTATGTACTTACACCTAATTAAGACAGACATGTATCAAACATTTTATGCCAAAGTGGATTCATAAGAAATATTACTAATAGGAAGGAAAACTGTCGTAGGTATCCTGTGTTGGAGGCTTTGGGTCAAATTCTCAAATGTTCAAACTGAATGGGACTGCAAACATCAATGCCATCAGGGTTGCAGCTGAGAAAGGTATTTTGCATTATAAGCTAGGTCCGATATTGACTGTGGCATGCCATGTAACTTTTTAAAATTTACTTGGTTTATTCGGCCTTCCCTGTTAAGTGAGAACTTCTGTTCCTTTCTACTGTTAAAACCACAGCGGCCTTATGATGTGGATATATAAAACCTACCCATTGAGAAATATTTGGGTAATGGATTTCATAATGGACCACTATTGAGCATTTCCTTGCCTTCAGTGTGGATTCTTGCCCAGTCTTTGGTGTACATGTAGTATGATATATAAAACCTACCCATAGAGAAATATTCGGGCAATGAATTTCATAATTGACATGAATTTTCGGAACACAATTATCCTATTGTTGGTTTGCTTTCCCTGAATAATAAAGATAAAGTTCCATGTTGTAGTTACACAAAAGAGAGTTGTACATTTTCCAACTCTTCCTATCATCGCTGTAAGTTGCTAAGTTCGAATGCATCATATTGCAACCTATTACTCATAGTGTTGATACGAGGAAAATTTGTGGATGCACCCCATTGATTTTGTGCACCTCGAAGTTTGAGAATAATTGTTGGAAACAATTCTGGTTGTACATTTTCTGGTGAAGTGTGAACCTGCATATTTTGGGCGAGAAGTAGTGTTTGTCTGATGCTGGACCTCTAACAATATGTATGCTTGCCACATGCTGCACCCCTAATAAAGTAACTGTGCACACTTACAATGTGTCTTAGACCCACCTCCCTATTCTGAGAAATGCAACTGGATATAATTTTTGGCCCAAATTGCCAGGTTTATGCTTCATCAACAAATGGATGTCCACCAATTTGGTTCAGAATTTTAAAACTTCCAAATGACCTTTCTGATTTTGGGGAGATAAATGCTGCATAAAGTCCACTCTTCTAGATATGATGCAATTTATCTATTTGTATTGTATAAATCTGTACTGTAAAAGCACTCAAGATATAATATTCCAACCAGCTCTAGAAATTTCATGCTTTATGAATTTAAACTGGAAAGATAGATTTTCTACCAGGATTTCTCCAATTTACCTCTGTTTCTACCTGCAGGCATAAAAAGATTTGTGTATGTGTCAGCTGCAGACTTTGGTTTAGTGAATTACTTATTGCAAGGTTATTATGAGGGCAAGGTAAGATGTCTGGATTATTGACATGATTAAGGACCCATTCATTTCTTTTCTAAAATTGCTATATATATTTGATTTGTGTGGTGTGCAATATGTTTCACCTCTAGCCTACCCCAACTTGTTCGGGACTAAAGGCTTTGTTGTTGTGGTGGTGGTGGTGTGCAATGTGTTGACTATTATCAGTGCCAGTTGAACTGTTGTGAGAAATCATGTCTTATATATTTTTATTTGTGTTCCCTCCAGGAGTACTTATATTTGGGTTTATCATAAATTAGTAGTAGTACGTTTTGTTCCGCTGTTCATATCAGATGTAGTGCCTCTTTAAACGTTGCTACTATTGAACTTTCTGCAAAGATCCATGAATTCTTCCCTTTTTATAGTTAAATTGTTTCAATCCAATGAGGACAGGTTAGATGATATATGAATTTGGTATTTCAAGCCAAATAAAAAGCCATATGCTGCTACCCATTAAAAATATAAGGTATTTTTTAGTTTATCATGTTGTGGGAACTGGGAAGTCATAAAAACAAGAGATTACTAGCAGGAAATGACCATGCTATTCATGGTATTAATGTCTTGGGCTCTTGGCAATAGGAGGCAGATAAGTTATAGTGTAGTCATAAATGTTGAAGAGTGACGGAAGATAAACAAAGGCAAACAAGAGAAACTGTCATAAACTTCACATGCCAAACCCTGTGTTGTAATAGGCAAAATTATAGGCCTTATTATATTCTTGATGGAGGGATTGTTAGAATAGGTAAATGTTGATTACGGACTGACGAGTAGTGATATCACAATCTGGTGTGAAATATTCAGATAATTACATGCTTAGCATGATACTGTAATCCTAATTGACCCTCTAGGTGCTCTCTTTGTACTCAATTCTTTACAAACATTGACGTTTGTTTTGTTGCATGACATTTTTCATATCCACCCTCTTTAAGCATATATCATTGTGCAAAATATTGACCTCCTTTGTTTTGTTTACTAAAGAGAGCTGCTGAAGCTGAACTGCTGTCGAAGTTTACCTATGGAGGTAAGTTCCAACCTGGTGCAAATAGTTATATTCAGAAGCCAGAATAATTGCTTTAAAAAGCAAGACAGTAAAAGTTACATATGTTCCATGAATTATTAATTGTAAAAGCAGGCCTTGACCAGTAAAGGTCATATCTACTCCATGAATTATTAATTGTAAAACTATGCGCAGAGAGGACAACCTTGATGTGATCAAAGTACCAAACTGAAGTAAATCCTATATATTGAAGTCACTAAATTGGTGTAACTTAACTCATGAATCCCTCTTGGATCAAAATGGTTTTTGAGATCCCTTCGAAGTATTATTTTATTGATTTGTATTTCTGATGCTCCTTCTCTACTGGAATCTTTCTTGATGGTGCAAACAATTATTTTGTTATTTGTAGGAGTGATATTGCGGCCTGGTTTTATTCATGGAACTCGTCGAGTGGGTAGTGTGAACATACCCCTTGGACTTGTGGGTTCACCTATGCAAATGGTAAAGTTTCTCTCTTCTCATGGGCATACTTTCTCGAACACGCACAAGAGGAAACTTCCCATGGTGTGCTAGTGCCCAGCTCCTCATAACCGTTAATACATTGTAGTTTGACCCTTCCGATCCCAAGCACTTATCATGTACCATATATGATGAGCAACTGTGGTTGAGTGGACTTTGAAGGTTATTTGAGTTGAACTAATAAGCAAGGGCAACTAAAGGAGTTTAGACTAAATGTGAGCATCATTTTGTGTGTGTCTAGCATCAAATCTTGTCTTACAGGAATTCATAGTGCTAGGTGTTAGAATTGCTATAAGTTATCCTAACTATCTGTAGATGCCCTGGCCTAGTAGGGATTGTGAATAGAATGGACAGTGCTAGGGATATGGTGAGCTTCAGGATGTCAATGTAATATGATTTTATTTACCAAGATTAGACTGAATGTGAAGGCTTCGGATTGAACTACTTGGGTTAGATCAAATGTATGCTTCCAGTTTATTAACAACAAAAAAATTCCATGAAAAGTGTATCACACATCTAACTCACCTGCTAGTACTGGCGCTGCCTTCCCTTAGTGAGTCCAGTCCTTCAGATTTGCTTTATGAGTCTTTATGACTGCACCGAGTTCCATAGGCATGAGGTTGATGGATAATGATGATGCATGTATCATCAGTTTTTTTCTTTCAAACCAAGTCTGATTTTCGCAGGGTGTCTTTTTGGTATATGTTTCATATAAATTCAGTACCCAACCCGGGTATTGGTTGCATTAGTTCACAGCTATATTGTTAACGGTTACAATGGCCGAGAGCAATCTTTTATGTTTCAATAGATGCCAATCAGGTGCAATGCCAAAGATAAAACTTGCCTGTAGTAACCCAGTATCCAAAGATCGTAACTCATCTCCTGTGCAAATGCCATATTCAGCTTGCAATTACTGTTAATGTTGGTATTGTTTGTGATGTAAGTTATACTCCTTGAACGATTCATTTCTGTAATTGTACTGCATTATTATTTCTTCCCGAGGTGGTATAGCCCTAATCTGAGGTCCCTCTACATCCGCAGGTGCTCCAAAATGCAAAACCACTAACCAGATTGCCACTTGTTGGCCCGATGCTAACTCCTCCAGTGAGTGCTACCTCGGTAGCGAAGGTCGCTGTAAGAGCAGCGACGGATCCGGTGTTCCCTCCTGGTATCGTTGATGTGTATGGCATCATGCGTTACAGCGAGCAGAAGTAAGCGTATGCTTGTACAGGATGATAAGGCGTGTCTCCACCCATCTTTTGTTACCTGGTTTTTCCTATTTGCTCTAAATGTGTAAGCGGACATCACAAGACCATGGGGTCTCAGCTACGGTCGCAGATTCTCTGATAGTTGTATCCTGGCGTGGCCCTGTTTGCCTGATCTACTTACTAGCCAAGGATGTGCTCAATAAAGAAGCAGTTAACCTCGAGTTTCCTGTTGGAAACTGTTTTTACATGCTTGTTGCTTGAAAGTGTTCCTTTTAGTTACTGTAGAGAGCAGGTTAAGGTTTGTAACTTACTTTGAGTTTATGGTAAGGAAAACTCTATTCCTGGTCGTGAACCGATTGTGGATAATTTTCTTAGTTTATCTGTACCGATTGGTGCTTTTGGTAGAACTAGTAGCATACAACATGTTTACTTCGCGTGTATAATTTCCCAATCCATCGTTAGACCCTAGCCAGCAGTAGTCGGCTCTGTTTGGATGTGGCCTTTTGTAACATCCAGATCTTCGAAATGTTCAAGAAGTTATCTAAAAAGTACTACCTCTGTAATATAAGACGTTTTTGCAGTTCATTTTAGTAGTGGTTAGGAATTCTGGTTAGGAATTCTCGTTTGTTCAGTTAGTTAACAAAAGACTAAATTGGCTTTTAACAGACTTGAAGGATTTGATTTGAATAAATACCAACTTATTAAATTAAAATACTCCCTCTGTTTCTTTATACAAGGTCACATCATCCTTTTTGTCAAATTTTCACTTATAATTTTGGTCAATAAAATATAGATTACATGTCATAAAAAATATATCATCTATATATTTTTTGAAATGTACATCTAATGGCATACCTTTTAGGGCATAGAATAGTTTATTGATAAAATTAATGACCAAACTTGGACATAAAAATATGAAGTGGCCATGCATACAAAAACGAAGCATGCACGTTCATTTGTTGTATGATCATCGGTAGGGAAGTGAGCCTTTATCAAAGGGACCCAACCAAGAAAAAGTAAGGGATCCAACCAAGAAATCTACTGTTCATTTGTTGTATGATGATCATCGGTAGGAAGGGAGCCTGTATCAAAGGGACCCAACCAAGAAAAAGTAAGGAACCCAACCAAGAAATCTACTGTTCATTTGTTGTATAATCATCGGTAGGAAGGGAGCCTGTATCAAAGGGACCCAACCAAGAAAAAGAAAAAGGGACCCAACCAAGAAATCTACTGTCTTGGAGCGAAAGTCTTGTATCATGAAACTAGACGTTTATTTAATTGATAGGTCGGATAGGAAGCAAACAAGCAAACCAAATTATAGGATTGAAAGTTAGAACTGGGAAAGGTTGTCCTGTGCATTGAGACTTGAGACCACCATACTAACCGTGTCAGGTGAAGGAAGCTATGTTTGCCATGTATATTACTCTGGTAGTGTACCTAATGCGGATGCCCTTTCACAATATAACTGCCTCTAGTTTCCCTCGAAGAAAAATTACCTCTAGTTAGTAGGAGTAGCAATGTTGATACATCTCACTATCTCACCATACATACGGTACAGCAAACCTAGAGAATAATGTGAATGGGCACGAGTGCAAGTAGGCTGGTCACGATGGGCAGGAACATAAGCTAGTAACCTACACACTTCCCTAGACTATGTTACTACCTTCATAGTGGGTAGGAACATGTATGTAGTGTCATGCAACAATGTATTTATTCAAGCACCTCTTTTTTTATTAAATATGTGTCACATAAATAAAGTTGCATTGGAGTGTGTGATGTTATTTCTAAGTTCCTGTCCATTGTGACCAGCCGTAGGCAGGAAGGAGTAGGACCAGCAGGTAGCGCAGCAGGGCACAGGGCCGTTGATTGGATGGCACAGAGGATAAGGCGCCCAGACATGTGGTTGTTTATCCGGACCTTATCAGGAGGCCGGTGATGCGCGGGGGCTAATCGCCGCCGCGGAACATCAGCCACCCCTTCCACATCTTGTTGTTGCTCAGCAAGGGCCCAAGGGTTATATAAGCCGCTGCTGACCCAACGCAGCAGTCCTCAAGCCAGAGTGCCTCCTCCTAGCAAGCTATATACCTACATAGCACAGCCATGGCCCCCACCGTGATGGCCTCGTCGGCCACCTCCGTCGCTCCTTTCCAGGGGCTCAAGTCCACCGCCGGCCTCCCCGTCAGCCGCCGCTCCAACGGCGCTAGCCTCGGCAGCGTCAGCAACGGTGGAAGGATCAGGTGCATGCAGGTAAACTACATCGTCTCTGCCTTTCTACTCATTTTCTAGCTTACGGACGGAAGTCAATAACATCAAATGTGTAGAACTAGAATTATAGTTAATGTATTAAAAATGTCAATCTGATTTGCAGGTGTGGCCCATCGAGGGCATCAAGAAGTTCGAGACCCTGTCCTACCTGCCACCGCTCAGCACGGAGGCCCTCCTCAAGCAGGTCGACTACCTGATCCGCTCCAAATGGGTGCCTTGCCTCGAGTTCAGCAAGGTTGGGTTCATCTTCCGTGAGCACAACGCATCCCCTGGGTACTACGATGGCCGGTACTGGACAATGTGGAAGCTGCCTATGTTCGGGTGCACCGACGCCACACAGGTGATCAACGAGGTGGAAGAGGTCAAGAAGGAGTACCCTGACGCGTACGTCCGCATCATCGGATTCGACAACATGCGCCAGGTGCAGTGCGTCAGCTTCATCGCCTTCAAGCCACCGGGCTGCGAGGAGTCCGGCAAGGCCTAAACAGCTCACTCACCACGGGCCACATATAAAGTGCCATTGCGGTTTTGTCAACTCTGACATTGCTTTGGGTTTTCCTTCTCCATTTATCTTTCTTGTTTGTTCCTAAGAATATGTGTATGTCCATGTTCATGTACCAACATGTCTCGAGAAAGCATGCTCGTATGTGAATGCAATCGGTGGCTATGTATATGCACATGCACATAATATATTTATACAATCTGTCGACTATGTATTCGGGTAATTAATAATGAGAAACATCTTTGGCACCGCACGCACATCTTTTATTTCCGCCGCTAGACATAGTTTATGTTGGAATGATGAGCAATCAAGAATAACACGGTAAGGCATTGTCTGATACTAGTGTATTTTAGGGAATTGGTGAGGATTATCCCGATTAAACCCCTAAATTCCCACATATTCCAAAACTTTATTTGGTTTTAGTGTATTTGATATATTCCATCCCTATATTTTCCCACAAATCCCTAAATTCTATTGCATTTTTATCGATATGGAATACACTATCTCTACCTGGTGGATTGGGGTAAATGGGGATTTGAAGAGATTGGGTGAGGCCTTGTTCGGTACTAGTGTATTTTAGGGAATTGGTGAGAATTATCCCGGTCAAACCCCTAAATCCCTATATATCCCAAAACACCATTTGGTTCTAGTGTATTTGATATGTTTCATCCCCACATTTTCCCACAAATCCTCAAACTCTAGTGCATTTTTCTCAATACCCAATACACTACCCCCACCTAGTGGATTGGGGATAAATGGAGATTTGAAGGGATTGGGCTAAGGTTGGGGTTTCACCTAATCCCTATGGGGATTATCCCCACCAATCTCCTCAAAAACCCTAGTACCAAAGAAGGCCTGATGGTTGGGGTTTCACCCAATCCCTATGGGGATTATCCCCACCAATCCCCTCAAAAACCCTAGTACCAAACAAGACCTAATTGTTCTTATACCAAAGTGGAATCTCCGGAGCTCATTACACAGTACATGCACATTAGCTTGTGTAATGTTTTATATAAGGAAATCTCCAAAATAATAACTCTCCGGTTAATATCTATTCTAGATGATATCATCCCTCCGATACATAGTGCCTTTGTACCGAGTCGACTCATTACAGATAACATTTTGTTGGCTTATGAGAGCATTCATACAATAAAAAAATAAGAAGAAAGGCAAGTGGGGCTATTGCACAGTTAAACTGGATATGCACAAGGCCTGTGATAGGGTTGAATGGAACTTTTTGAGCAGAATGATGACACGCTTGGGCTTTCATGTAGAGTTTGTAAATCTGTTGATGGCATGTGTCCAGTCAGTTAAATATAAGGTCAGATTCAATAATCAAGAAAAAATATATTTTATTCTTGGAAGGGGACTCCGACAGGGAGGCCCCCTATGTCCATATTTGTTTTTGATTTGTGAAGAAGGGCTTTATAGTCTTCTGGCTCATAGAGAGGAGGTTTGTGGCATTGAAGGTGTCAGGGTTTGCAGAAATGGACCATCAATTTCACATTTACTTTTTGCTGATGACTCCTTTATCCTTATGAAAGCTGATATGAATAATGCAACCTCATTGAAACAGGTTCTAGATCAATATTGTGCAAGTTCTGGCCAAGTGGTTAGTGAAGCAAAATGCGGCACTTACTTTAGTCCTAATGTGAGTGTGGAGACTAAGGCCGACATATGCACAAAGTTGAATATTATGTCTGAAGCTCTATCAGATAAATATTTAGGACTGCTGGCTATGGTGGGTGTGGACATGAGTGACATTTTTATTCAACTCTTGGAGAGAATTATAATGCGGCTAAAGAGCTGGAAAGAAAAAAAATGTCTATGGGAGGAAAGGAAATTTTACTAAAGGCAGTTATACAATCCATTCCAGTTTTTGGCTTTTTGCTATGTCTGTCTTCATACCGAAGAAATTATGCAAAGAAATGACTGATGCAATGTCTGAATTCTGGTGGGAAGATATAGAGGACCAAAAACGTATGCATTGGATGGCATGGTGGAGAATGTGCATCCCAAAGAAGGATGAAGGTATGGGCTTTCATGATCTGCACTCCTTTAATCTAGCTATGTTGGCGAAACAATCATGGAGACTCATTTCAAATCCAGATTCTCTGTGCGCCAAAGTTCTTAAAGCTAAATATTACCCAAATTGTCACTTGTTGAAAGCGGGTCCGAAGAAGGGGTCATCTTTTACCTGGCAAAGCATAGTGGCAGGTCTATGTACTTTTTTTGTGGAG